CTGTGTTGGTATGTAAGCAAATATCTGTTGGTTGAATCAGTCAGTGTGAATCGTTAGCTTACATTGTTATTTCAAAGGTTTTATCAGTTGAAAAAACTTGAATTTGGTGACTTGTCTTTTGAAACATACATTTAGTCGTCAAATGTAACAATGGAGTAATAATAAGAAACGTAACAACTTCTGTTATGGTTCATATACATCTATTTAGCAGTAATGAGCATTAAAACTGAGTGTATGGATTGATAATATTTAATTATTAGAGTATCTTTATTCATTCTCAAAGGATTCAAACCGCTAGTTGACGGTATTTACTCCTTGTGCTTGTGAAAAGCAAAATAAACTTAATATTTTTTTTATTATTTTAGTAACACTGCTGGATTATCCTAAGCATTCAAAAGTCAGTGACATCTTTGATCATTATCTTCATATGAACTGACTTACATTTACCAGACTTTGATCAGAAATGCACCACCAAAACCTGGGTGCACCAGACAGCTGTTCTGTACTAGTATGTGACTCCTCAATTGTGCTCACCCACGACCACCTCAGGGATCCAGCTCAGGATTTGAAAGTTTCGTGGCAAATACACTATTCATTCAGCCAGTGGTCATATTTTCTTCCTTCCGCCAATTCGTGGTTAAAACAGTAACTATCCAACAAGGTACTGAGTTGTTATCCACTTCACTTCCACTTAGTTAACCTCACAGTTCAACCTGAAGGTCCTAGGTTCGATTCCTAGCGAGATCGTGAGTGCATACTGTTTGCAAGTCCCACACTAGGATGAAATATTTGTTTTTACTAATCCTCCAACTGGTGTCAGTCCGTAATGAATACTACCTTGAAATAAAATCTCCACTAATTTCAAACTACAAAAGAAAATAACTCCAATAGTTGAGACGAAATATGCAAAAATTGTCTTTCAGTGTGAACTAATAAATGCTGATAATATTATTTCCTAAGCTTTCTGAGATTACAGTAATAAGACCTTAAAAATGAAACCTCACTTCCTGTATGTTAACAATGACAATTTTTACTTGAACTTTGAGCCACCGAATATATTTCATGAAATTCTTTCCTTTCCTGGAAGCAACGCGCAGCCGTTTTATCCTGGAATGGAACTCCTCAACAGTGTGCATCCATGACCCCACTTACCAGCCACTGAACCCTTGACCTTCAAGTCGTGTGGCCAGCACATTAGCAGTGAGCCACTGGGTCGGGAACCAATCGCCCTTATTTCCTACTTCTGTCAGATCACGATATATCGCAACCTTTATTCAATACCATCGTTAAGTAACTGCCTTCGTATCCAACTTATACAACTCCAATGATCATGACTTCTTATCGAAACTTCAAGAATCATCTCCAAGCGATTCACCGATAAACACTAGATTAATTCGATTCAAAAGTTTTTAGGGATGTCTTTATTTATTTGAGGCATTATACCATGGGCTGATATCGGTTGGTAAAACAATGGAAACCTGGAAGCACTGGACAGACGCTGTCATGGGTGAGCACAGCTGAGAAGTCCCATACTAGAAAGAAACAGCTATCTAATGCTCCCTGGTTTCCAATGTTTTTCCAACTGATCTCATTCTATGATGAATACCAACGTGAAATCAGTAGCTAAATTCCCAAATACCTGAAAATTCATTTAGTTTTTGCTAGAAAGCTTCGTGCTTAAATAGTTCTGGTGCTTTAAGATATGAAAAGTGCATCCAATTCATATGGCACTTAGTGTTGGAGAAATTGCATAGTTTTACCATTACATTTGCGAATTTTTCTGATGATTTGCAAAGCTAATGTAGAAATAATGTTTTCCGGTTTGAATTAACTTTGCATTCAGTAATCGTGCTTGAATTGTACTTTTTTTCCTGAACTATATTATATGAGAAGCTACTTGCCTGTGACATCAGTCAAGTCGAGTGTAAAGTCAGTATATTACTGATGTTGTTAAATGATGGTAAGCTTAGCTCATGAAATGCTAGAAATTCGATGGAGCAACTTTTAAATTTCAATGAAACACCATGAACTCCGCTAGTTTTGGGCTTTATCTTCCATAGGGTTATGCTTATTCAATGCTAAGGAGTTTTAAACACGGACAAAATATGTTGCCTAAAGTCTTCACTGTTCTCTTACTCAGATCCAATTGTTTGGAATAACTCCAGATTATTCATCTTATAATGTTATTGTGCCAGTGAATAATATTGCAGTAGTCAACTAATATGCCTCATAAATGGAATGTTTTTGTCAACGTTAATTTGTTGCCTAAATCCCTGGTTTCCTCTGATATATTTCGAATACCAGGAAATATTTGTTTATACTGTAGTTACTGACATTAATAAAACTTGCATTCGAAAGTATTATATTGCATGAATACGGTTATGTTTGGTTTATGCATGCTCAGATTATTCTTGAAATATATTCGAAAAAACATACAGAGAAAAATTAAATTAGTATCGGCTATTTTTCAGACTACTAACAAACTTATCGAGGGTTTTTCCTATCCACTAGTTGCTCTATCAATTATGATTATGTATCATATTAGGAATAGGATTAAATTCCATAAAAACCACAATGGAATGCTACAACAGAACATTTTACGATAATTTTCATCAGCTATCAGTTTCGGTTTTGTAATCACAATTTCGATTATGAATATTCATTGTGTAAGTGTACTTTATGAGTATTTACTGAATCTGAAGGTTTTTTTCAGTAATTTGAATTTCAAATACTTTTAGGTATTTCATTATTTGTCAAAATGTCATCACTGAAACAAAAAAAATACTTTTTCTAATTTTTCTTTCATGCAATACAACGTTAACAAACTTGATTTAAAATTCATTACTGAGTATATTAACTTTTGGTTTCTTGTAGAAATAACTGTCATGCATTATATCAAAATATAAACTATGATGCTCAACAAATATCTCTGTGCTGGTTCGTTTTTGTCATCCTTAAAATTCATTTCAAATATGACAATATGAAACATTCCGTTTTCCTTTTTTACTCAAATTTTTTTCAGTGAGTTATTTTTTTTTAATGGAATCATACGAATTCTGGTTTGAGTATTTCACTAATACCTGATGAAGAAGTTTAATTATATGATGCATTGTATACAAGCTGCATATATTTTATCATTTTTATCAGGTATGCATTTTTGACACATTATTAAAGGATATTTAAGAACAGCTAATCACTTGTCTGCGGATATATGTATTGCCTATGCTCTTCTATCTTGACTACAAGTAAGAACAAGTACAAGTAAGTACAAGTACAAGTGAGAACAATTTTCTGAAATGTGTACTATTAATTTTATTTTACACAGTGGTTATTTTAAACGTATATGATAACGTTTTAAGTCTAAACTCAATCAGAACAAAGCTGAATAAGGTGAATACGTTCATAATGTGCAATAAATTCTACCAGCTATAAAACCATTATTGTTGGCTACCATGAATATTCGAACGAAAGTTCCAGTTGATTTAATAGCTTATTTAATATCCCTATTCGCATCATTATGAATACCAAGCATCCAAAAGGAGATTTTGATAGTTTGAAAAACTGTGAGCATTTCATAAGAAAATTATTTTTTAATGTTTACATAAGTTTAGAGATAGGTAATTTTTTCTAAGATTCATTTTCCTTTTTAATGTTCTTGAAGTGTTTTAATGCGTTACAAGAATATTAAAATATGTATGAAATCTGCACGAAGATCCTAAAATGGCCGATAATGAATTTATGAGTACAAAACTAAAGACACTGTCAAGTCTATTAATACTATATGAGAAGAAAAATTAATACTCGGACAGTAAACATGGGCAAGAATACTCCGATACACCTGCATACATAATATATTTGTGTATGTTTGATAATGCTTAGACAAAACAATGAGAAAATGTGGATTGTCTGAACCGTGTTATGTATTGACACAACACATTTCGAACAAAGATATGTTTTCCATCAGCGAGTATTTAACGAAGGTACAGTTGAAGTATCATAAGTATTTTTATCTCTTCCAACTTTCTCAAGTAATAAACTGTGACTCAGCGAAACAAAAGTTGAGTATAGCCCTTGAGAAAGTATGCATGAATGGTTGGAGACTGTCGGTGATATGTCTTGAAGTTGTTTACAATGGTGAAGATAAACTCGCTATTTGACTCTGCCAAAAGTTCGAAAATTTCCACTATCCTCCATTTCCGTTAGAACTTATCTCTCTTTCTATATACTTTTTCCTATGACAGTTTCATTCTTATTCTACCCACTTTCTCTTTACATCTTGTAAGGAACTATGCCAATTTGAACAGATACACTTCTGTACGATGCTCAACATTGGTTAATCTCTACGGTTGTATAAAGTAAAATGAGACAGATTCATATTTATTAATTTAGTTGACTGATCGTTTCTTGGTGATTTTCTGCTTAGTTTGTGTACAATTCTGAATACAACAGCTCTGTTTTAAAACTGCAGCGGCTACGGATATTTAAATATCTAAAATAATCTAAGAAACCCCATAACGTTTCTTCAAAATTAATTTAAATGGTGGATTAAGAAAAAGAATATTTAGTAGAAATAACATACTTATTTTACAACCTTATCCTTTATTTTCAAAACAGTTTCCTAGTTGAAAACACTGAAAGGTAAAACATTTGAAATCGAGAATCACAATAAGCGCTTCAAACTTTCTAATGTTGGCAGTAATCACTGATGTATATTCGCTACCATACAAACTATTAAAATAAGTGGTCACTAACTGGATACCTGTCAAGTCTGTTGAAAATATATTCAAGTAAATACTAGTTGTTCAAATCAACTTTTAGCTTAAAATATCGGAGCTGTAAAAGGACTAGAACACTTGGAAAAAAAACACCAGCGTATACATCCTGTTTTCTTATGCTCACTGAGCGTGGGCAAATAATCCTGATTGGCTGTTCCTGTATGGTTTTTTTCAGTAGAAAATAAATAAAATGGTAATTGAAATCAGGTTATAAATAAGTTAAATTGCCAGTAGAAAACAATTCTGTCAGAAAACGTTTGTTAACATTAGTAACAACTACAGTAAAGTTATAAAATTATATATCCATTAAGGTAAGTTAACTTCTATTTGTCTGTGTTAAGTGAGATACTTTATAAAATTGAGTATGCTTATCAACTACTTTAATATTCTTATGGTATTTTATAAATGTAGTTAAATCTAAGTAAGGATCCCTTTTAATCTCTTATTCACATATTTTAGTTTAATTTCCATAATCACTGTCGTTTACTTCCAGTAATATTCCCAGTTAACATTTTGTCGATTAACTATTTGATATCAAAATTGACTTAATGTATACCTCAACAGTCTGCACTTCACTTGTTAGGTAAGGAGCATACAAAAATGTCTTTAGCGAATATTGTTAAACCTATTGAGCAACTTTAAAAATCACCCTGGCAATTGGTAAAATAATCAACTATGTTTTGGTATTCCTGACCAAAAGATATTTTTTTTTCAATAAAATTGAAAACTGTAACTGGTTATCTAAACAGTTGATAGGGTAGTCTTTAAATCCAACCCAAATTTCACCAGTTGCCTAATTTTCATTTAAGTACCAAAGTGAAGAAAAAACAGTTGGGATTGTTAACTGTAAAAATATGTAATGCTAATGTCTGTCATTAATGTAGTTTAATACTTTACTTTTCTGAATATATACACGTAGCTATTGCAAAAGACTCTTTTCATGTAAAATATACCACATCTATGAGCATAGACATTTTTATAATCAGAAAGGTGCATTTTAAACTTGTAATGTAAATAATACGCACCATAAAAAATATATTAATAAGCCATCGTTACGCTGAAGTATTCGTAGGTTCACTAAAAGTTGTTACATCGTGTTTTGACGTCTGCCATTATTTTTCATCGACAAATCTCGAATAGTTCCCCAATATTTTATTTCTAAAAGTTATCTAATCATAATGATTGTCATACTGGTCACTATTATAGTAAGGCTCAGTACAAAATCCTCTATCCAGAATTGTAGTAGAAATGCTATCAATAGTCAATATTAGAAGTATTATTGAGAAGTATATTAGCTGTAGTTATTACATTCTTTTTATCCAAGCTATAACTTTAATTTCATGTTGCTGTTTGATAAACCTATTGAGCAGAATCAGAATGGTGAATTTATTTTATTTTTATCCTATCTAGTCATTGAGAAGTAGGTAACACTCAAATATTAAGAGAATGGAAGTTAGTTTATTGAAGAATAGCATCAAATTTTAAGATGAACAGTAAGAAAAGCTTAGGATGGCTTATTCGCTGTCTTGACAGAGGAATAATAGGCAAGGTTTGTCATGATAACCAATTCCTCAACCTATTTTTTACGTTACACAATGATATCAATATGCACTTTTAGTCTATCAGATAGGTTCAGCCTAACATACCACATTCGGTTATGACTTCTTGATCAAAATTTAATAAAAAGACAATCGATTACAATAAATTATCATTTACCGAAAGAGATTTTGCGAAAAACTGCTTAAGTACAGTTTTTAATTTTCCGATATCACTAAAGTGTGCTTTACAACAACTTTGTCTCCTTGTTACAATGTGAATTCTGCATTATAAACTATAACCAATTATTGATAACACTGGCATTTTAATTTAAACTGACTCTCATAATATGCAGTCACATTTATTGAATTTCAAGCTAGAGATTGAAATTATCATGCAAAAGGCAACAATCATTAAAACAAAAAAAAAGAGATTAGTTATACATTTTCTACTCTAAAGAAACGAATTCATTCTTTGGCATGATGAGCATCCTCACTGTGTTGAATAATTCTGGAATTAAGACAAAAATCAAGTAAACAACAAGAATTTTGAAAACATTGTGATCAGTTAAACGGAATGAAAATATCTCTAAGGCAGATAAATGCTTCATATACTATGGGAAATGTTAGCATAAGAGTTCTGTAGATTAAATAAGAATTTGCAGAATATCCACATTGATGTATATTATACGCCTAATCAGACTGAAAAGTAGGAAATATGGTAACGTGCTGGCTACAAAAAGTGAAGGTTCTTGGCTCAATCGTTGGTGGGGTCATGGATGCAGACTACTGATGAGTACCCAACTAGGAGGAAACAACTGTCAAGTTCTTTCACGTTTCCAATGTTTCTCCAACCGATATCAGTTCCTGATGAATATCAACCTGAAATCAATAAATCCCCGCAAACCTTCAAATTGAAATATTTAAGAATTGTATCTTTGTAGCCAACAAACAGTTTCAAACTCTGAAATTGACAGGACTTAAGCCTAGTAGACGTTTACACATGTACACATACGCAGAGAACAAACTAACATTTTAACTCGAGATATGTTCATATTTACCATCCACTCCGTGTCAGCATTTTATTATGGTGTTTGGTTTATTAACATCTGGTATGGCACAACTTCTAGTTGACAAGGACGTGAACAATTTACTTTTTCCAAGTTAGAATAGTTATACCAAACATTATATTTATAATTGTTTAGCTGAACTTAAGATAAGTGTTGGAAACGCTAAGAGTATAAAAACTTTCGGTTTTTACTGTTATTCGCCTTAAAGAATTCATTCGCTTCAAATAATAATAATAAAGAAAAGGTGTGATGGTAAGAAAAAAAGTTTTAATAAGTGCTTCACTTGCTTAGCCCGTACCACTTAGATCCCACACTGTATTAATGCAGTTATTCAGAGAATAAAATATAACATTTCAGCCGTTCTTTCTTCCTAAAAGGGAAGATTCTCTTCGTAAGAACCGTAAATACTTCCCTAAACATGCCAGTGACACAAGTGTGTCGTTCGTTTGTATGCTTCTATCACCTAAAAAATATGACGTCTAGCAGTAATGAAATTATTATGGCGGTGAAATAAATTTCAAATCTGACGACTACTTAAAATATATCAGTTTGTATTAATTTATGACTAAGTGTGTACATCAAACAGTAAAGTTCGGTATTCAGATAAACGTCATGGTGTTTTGCCACAACTTTATGAAAAACAGACACCTTCGACAGGAAATAGGGATAAATAGTAGTAGCGATCACTAAGTATGGTTAGGAAGTTTGGATAATACTGATTGGTATAAAAAGGATGTGTTTTTCTAAACTAAACAAGTTTGATATTTTGAACTATGAGCTTAGGTATTATTTAGAACATCCTTTCTGAAAATAGGTGAAAAATCTTTTAAGCCTTCTTAAATTTGTATTTCAACAATTGTTCTTGGATTTTCAAACTGTATATGAAGTATATAGTGAATCAGATAAACAGTAATATTTAAAAAATCTGAAAGGTGAAGTCAGTTTATACTACTTATATAATTGAAATTAGTTTTTCAGTAGACTTTAGGCGGTAAGTATGGTTATTTATTATTACATAGCTATAAGTAAATGACGAATTTTACAGCATTCGCCTACTAAATTATTAAACGGTATGTCCCATTTTCAGTCAGTGACTATATCGTTTTGATAATAAGAAACTTCTTATCATCATAACATGAGGTAATGTATTGCCACTTTGCAACATTTAGATACTCTCAGTATATAAATGATGCCTACTGCCTATTGATTGAATAGGACTTTTACTAAAGGGAAGAAGTTACTTACCGACAGAATAGTAAACTTAAAGTTGAATTCCAGTAAGTAAACAAAGACACCTTTCTTATGTTTTTGAAACAAGTATACCTGTTAAAAATTTACTACAAACCAACATTAAGTGTAACGACACTACAATATAGACACTTCATAAAAACCAACTGATGTCTTTACTTCGTTTACACAGCCGATTTCATCGTTGAACAAAAGAGTTATTTTACACTTGTTTCAAAACTGGATCTGTTGATTACAATTATGTGGGAAATCAGTGTTTAAATGGGGAATTAATTAATTATAACTGGATCCAGATGAAATTTACTGCTTAAACATATCACTACAATAGCTTTCTTAGCGATAGAATATTCTAATCATTGATAAAAAGAATGATAAAAGTCATATTCATTAGATCATGTACACCGTTTCGTTTTTGATGAAACTATCGTATAACAAAGAAGATTTTTCTGATTGTTATGGTACAATTAAACAGAAAACAATTTAGTTTAACAATTAGTTCGTTTTTAACCACATAATCCACATGTGTAACTCGTTCACATAAGTTAGTAAACATCAGCCACCTTTTGCCATAATATAAACTATCATTTTCTTTATAAATTGGTTTGTATACATTTTCTATCATATGATATATCTTGGTCACCAAATGATTTGAGTGTTTGCTTTTATTGGCCACGTTTAGTTGAGTTACTCAAATCTTTGAAGTAAAAAAATATTTATTATATTCTATTATCAAAGTAAGCCTGTATGGGTTCTCCGGTTTCATTATTACCAGTTTAATAAAGTAATTGAATTACCCTTCTTGATATCGAAAAGTCGGCACTGTGATTCTGACTTCAGTTCACTCGGTCAATTTCTCGACGATCGAAAGAACTCGCCATAAAACAACTTTGCATAACACATGGAATTCTCTAAGATCATTGAGTATTTAACTCATATGCTAAATTAATGTGCGAGAGACTATGTATTGGGCTACACCTTGTAAAAGACTTTATCTGCTTATTTCGATGGCGTTTAAGCTAAAGTGCTCAAACTCCTCAAATTGAATCACATTCGCAAGAAGAGTAGGTATGAACGATAGTTTCATTAGATAATCCTGAAAGCCTACAACTTATAACAACTTTCTGCATGGATAGTCGAAGTTTGAAGTGCTTAATTAGGATACCAATTGTCCAAGTAATAAGTAATCATACTACATCGTACTTTCTATATGATACAAACGATTTCGTCAACCATTTTCATTTCTATATGTTTTTCATAGCATTTATGCTGACTCCCCTAAAGAAATATAGTTATATGCGATCTCTGTTGAAATAATTCATATCGACTTACTATGTGCTGAACAGCCTAGAAATGGAATAAAACTTGTTATCTTATCTACTGGTTCTGCTTTGTAAAGTTGCTTTCATTTTCATTGATTTTCATTTATCATACAAAAAGAAAAAGCATAAATCAAGTGAA